GTCGTGCTGCCATTTGTCTGGTAACTCTCTGGGCTGTGAAAACAAGAGAAAACAACACTGTACTGTCACATGTGTTCTGATTCACAAAGAGCTGACTGAAGATCAGAAAAACATTACGTGACCACAAATTCCAACATAAGTGAATGGGGAACGGGCGTATCTTAGTAAAGCACTGTATATGTCATGCCTGCAGGATATACAAAAAGTTTGATTAAGATGATAATGATGATACCAGGGATGAAACCAAACACGAGAAGAGTCCATCCACAAACAAAGCCAACTGGCTTTTCTCCAATGACAAAAAGAAAGCCTTCCTGTGCCATCAGGGTGGTAAAGGAGGAAGTTTTTAAAGAGATGAAACCGGCTCAAGTCCTTTGTTGAAGCAACAGCATTCTCACTCCGTGGCCATTTTGAAGATACACGTTTTTCCACAAGTCGTCTTCATCGTAAGTATTTGCGGACATTCGTTTAAAATCACTGCCGATAGTTTAAACTGAAGGGCATCGGCGACCAGCTGCTGATCCTCCTCACCTCACAACTCAAAGCACAACTTCTCAAACATCTTCAGACACAAAGCAGCCATCTTGAGCAAAAATCCATCCAAGCAAGTCTCACGTGGGGACATGTTTTAGGGCGACCCACATCTGTGTAGACACGTGAAGTAAGTGAGGCAGAGCAAGGCACATTTCTTTCAGGGTAATTCAAGGGTTTTAGCCCCCCCACCCGTGTCGCTACTAACCACACTAACGTTAGCTTAGGGGAAGTCCGTTAGCACGTAACGCTAACCACGACGGATACGGCACCAGGGACGCATTATAACACTTCGCCACGTTACTTTCATTTCCATTTATGCTCCATTTCAACTGCTTCTCTTTCATACCCTGGTGTACGGTGTGGTTCTGTTGTTTCTCTCACGGTTGAAGTTATTCTGTCGACTCCGCGCCGGCCTCGACGATCCGCCGGCCCGACCTGAACTTCCACCCGGCCTCGACGATCTTCCTCCGCTGCCTCCTTTCTTATTCAGCTTGATGATGTCGTCCAGAGACATGTTCATCTTGTCAGACATCGTGGTGCTTACGCTTGTTGCTAACGCTCAAAACGAACAAAGGACTTTCGGCGTTGAGACGACGTTGTTTATCAGCGGCTCTCTCGGTGGCGCGGTGTTGAAACTAGCGGAAATGCGTAGTTCTGTGACGATAGCACCGAAGTCCCGCCCTTTCTTTGCTTCTTCTTCTTCCTCTTTGGTTTTCTGGCGGGCTACAAACCAACGTTAAAGGTGCATCCCGCCACCTACTGTATCGGAGTGTGAAACATAATCAATATCATCATCAATATCATCAATATCATCAATATCAAATCACATTTGAAGTTTTTTCGCATCATCTGAGAAAATTCTTAGGCTGTTTGGTGTTCTTAATTAATGAATATAATATTTCCCTAAAAGACCACCCTGTTATTTTCATAGAGTTGTGTTAATAGAAGCAAACACACCTAAACCGATTTATTCAGAGAAATAATAATAATTAATGAACAAACATATCTGTAATGAGAAGTAACAGTAACAGTAAGTAAGTTACATGACTCTACCACCAGTTATAAAACAAGCACAAAAAGACATTCTTGAAGTCATTAAAAGTAAAACAGAACACAAATTGCCCATTCAAAAATCAGTTTAGGTAATTCTACTAGTTGGAGTTATACATTATATTATAATTTTTCGGTTGTAGGTTTTTGTAGGCTCCAAATGTGAAGAAGATCAAGACTAGTGTAAAAAAAAGAACATATATATGAAGGAACTATAGCAGTGCCACCTTCTGTCTCATCGCCTGCACAGCCTCCCACACAGGTGTTTGTAATCATAGCCTGACTGAGCATATTCTGAGCAGAGCTCAACCAATCTCAACTGCGAAAATAGGCCTTAATCAGCCCCCAAAATCACCATAATTAAGTGAGAATACAGAGGCCAGAGTACAGAGTGGTAAAACCTATAATATTGTGCACAAACCTTAGATAGAGCCTTAATATTGAGAATGGGATATACTGTACAAATAGCGTTACAGGGTTACAGGAAGTTTGGTGAAATCCATTTTAATAATCAATCATGTTAACTATGATGTTGTTTTAGACCATTAAGATCCACTGAGGGTGCGGTGTGTTCATCACAGGGAGACATATAGAGCACATGGCTAACTGAGGCTTTGCTGCATGTGCACATATAGCAAAAAGAACCCCCAGCCTTAGACAGGACAGCTATAAGGTGGAGACCTGAAACAATTTGCCATTTAATAGATAGATAGATAGATCTATGTACTTTTCACTACGTATTTTGTTTTCACAAATAAAAATGACAAGTCAGTTTCGCTTAAAAGTACTAAATCTACTTCATCAAGAATGTATTTTTTATTAATCAGTCTTAACAATTTCTGTGTTAAATGAACTTTTACAGTGAGGAGGGGTTTTTTTTCTAGGTAACTATCAGGTTTTCTCAAATCATGTAATTACACATTTCTGGCATTCTGACTTGAAACATAGCGCACAGTGATCATAAATGGGTGAGAATAAAATTCAGGGGGGAACATGTGGCCAGAGGCCTAGGTTTGTGCTAAGCCCTGCATGTTTATAACATCTGGCTCCGTCCCTGCTGTTTACCTTCGTAGGTCACGTGATTCTCATCACGGTTATCTTCGAGTTCTTTAGTTCAAAATTAGTTTTGAACCAAAACACTAACGCAGCGAAACAGAGGCCAACCGATGCTACTGAGCTGTTTTCATCTATTCTGTTTAGTATAGTGAGAAAATAGTCTCTTTAGTTAACCAATACTATTATTATACTGTTAGAGCATTTGAGGATCAATATAACATACCATCATTGTTAGCAAGCCGATCAGTTTGTTTACCTTGATGTAAGCAGACTGCATTACAATGGAGAATAACACCAGTGAGGAGGAGAGCCAGCCCTCTGCCAGCAGGATGAGGAGATGCTGGAATAAGATTATGCGGAATAAATTTCTGGCTTCAAGTCTGACAGCTGTTGTCCTGGGTAAGCGATAAGGATATTTTAAGAGACTGAAACTGGAATTAAATCTTCATTTTAAGGAAATATTGAAGTTGAAACACGTTGTAAATTTAAGCCAAGTGTGTCCTTCCTAATGTAAAAATAATTTTAAAAAAAAGATTTATGTTGTCAGATAATTGTCCGATTTGTAATGAAGTAGCGCTGCCCTACACCAGAAGTTCACTGTCCATCCTGTTCTGCTTTAATATGAACATACATAATCTCCAGCAGAGAGACAGGTTGGTGCGTTGTAAGAGATTAAATAAATACGTTAAATAAATAAAATAAAATAAAACCGGATCAAATGTAAATAAGGCCATGGAAAAACGCCACATTCTGTTGCCTGGGCAGCTAAGTGGTTTGAATATGGCGCCGGTGGTGTTGTATCAAATTCTGTGATCCATCAGATTGTGTGCCCTGTCGTTTATTGTCGCTTTATATTAATAACAGCTGTTACAAAAAATGATCCCTGCCAGGTATTGAGACAGGGTCACAAAATGTGACGGCTGTAAAGAAAAAAAATACCCCCATAGATAAAGGGAGGGTCCCAAACTCTGGGACATAAATTCTTCCTATCTGGTCTCACCGAGTTACTTCTATTGCAGTGGTTCCCAACCTGGGGCTTGCCAAACCTTCACAGGAGGTCACAGGCCTTCTTGATTTTTTAACTGAAACAGGAAATAATCTGCTCTAACTTCATTCAGTTCACTATTGTGAATATATATTATGCAACACTGATAAACATTTTCTGGACCAAACATATAGCCTATATAGCAGTCCTATACAGTATGCATATATGTGTCTAAATGTGGCCAGTTATCATTGTCGTAAATCTACTTTGGTCTTGGGTTTCTTGAATACATATAAGTTACAATGAAGATTTATCAGATTTATAAAATGAATGTTAGAGGAGCACCCAAATAACTGCTTCAAATCCATTTAAATAGGTATGTCTCTGAGGCCATGCAGGTGGTGTACGTGGCACTCATTCATTCATTTTATGGGATTATTTTATGACATGAGGTACTACTTAGGTAGGCCTATACTTAGAGCCACAATGTGCAGAATTTGAAAATGTCTTTCTTTGGTGCCATCAATAACACCGTTGCTGGCAGCAGTGCAAACCACTAAATGTTCTGTTTTAAAAATCACTCACAGTCTAAATGTATTTATAAAGATACACAGTGGACACATTCAGTACAGAATTGCTCTATGTTATATCAGTAACAATGGCAACAAAAATGTGGTAAATTATGTATATATATTATGATGTGACCTCAGTTTTTCAACATTTCAATGTTTAAGAGCCATATTTGAGCCTAAATAAGACAGTGTGGCTTTGCTTAAAGATCCCCTCCAGACATATAAACAGACAGTCTGCATGGAACAATAATGTGTGTAAGTTTTTCTGCAAAAACAAAAAAGAATAATTTTCAAATTAAAATGCTTAAAAAGTAACTACTACTACTACTACTACTCCTTCTACAAAACAGCCTTCTACTGTCAACACACACACACACAAATCAAACTTAAGGAACAAGAAGAAAAACACATTTTTGGTAGAGCGGGACTTGAAGAATGATAAAATCTGAATTTGTGAAAAGCTCTTTAGCATGTTTTACCTCTATTACAACCCTATTCCCAGCTACATAAAACCTTTTCTGTGCTTAATGTCAGAAATACTTTTGTTTTTGTCTCACAGGTATTGTCCTGGGTTTTGTTCTCAAGATCTGTGTCCACATGACCGAACTCCACCAACTCTACATTGGCTTTCCAGGAGAATTACTCATGCGGATGCTTCAGGCGGTGACCATTCCTCTCATTGTTACAAGTGTGATAACAGGTCAGCCGCAGGAGAATTTCTGACACTGTTAATTGTTACATTAGGTTATACATGTTATATACACAGCACTTGAAAGAAACATACTGGGGTTTGGCAAGTTAAACCTACTGCAAGACCATCAGCGAGAGTTGTGAGAATTGGATATTTCTATATTGTAATTGCCTGCAAATGTGATTTGGTTGGATTCCTCTTGAAATCAATGAAACGAGGCGGTGGAAACACTACTGCTTTTGTCGACGAGTTCCTTGTTGCTGTTTTAAGTGTA